GACTCATGAGGAGGGGTGAGCGGAGACGGGGAGGAGGTGGGGGAGCCATATGGACTTTGCTTTTTTTATTTGAATATCTGTGACTCTTGTGTGCGTTGAGGGTAAAAGTTACTGTGGTTAAACTCTTTTTGCTTTGCCTCCTGTGCAGTCCCCAAAGGGTTAAATTATAAACCAGAGTGCCCATGGGGATCCCCATGTAAACAGCCCTCGCACCCTCCCCCAGAGGTGGCTGCATCTCAGCACCGGGCAAAGGGGGGGTCCCTGTATAAACAGCTCCTGCACCCCACCCCAGAGGTATGAGGATTCATACCCACCCCAGAATATGTCTGTATTAACTGTTGTTATGCTTGAAGGTGATAATGGCTCTTTGATCAAAAGACAATCACAGACCTGAGTGTGTGAAGAGCTTTTCTTTCCAGCGAAGCCGAAGGAGGAATTAAATGCCCCTTTGCATAGAGATAGCTGTGAGCAATGGGGAGCCACCACCCGAGACACTGGGCCGCATGGCACAGCCGATCAGAAGCTGAGGGGTGTCTCTGGGACCGGTTGTAGCAGGGGTGTCCATAGGATTTATGGGCCCTATGCAGACTTATTAAACTGGTGCCCCTATGCCTGACGGCAGCCCGGGCTCACACGTGTATTTTAGATACGGGTGGTCTTTTGAAGGAGTTATTTAAAAAAAATATGTCTGAAGATTCAAGCATTTCAGGCTAAAGATGAATCCTAGAATATCAGGGTTGGAAGGGACCTCAGGAGGTCATCTAGTCCAACCCCCTGCTCAAAGCAGGACCAAGCCCCAACTAAATCATCCCTGCCAGGGCTCTGTCAAGCCTGACCTTAAAAACTTCTAAGGAAGGAGATTCCACCAGATTGTGCATCTTGAAAATCTATGCAAGGATTTTTTTAGAGATGTGATTTTATAATCTTCAGCAACACACTAATGAAATAGTTTGAAAGCAAATGTTAGAGTAAGGTCCTGTGGACTAACATGTTCTGAGTAAATATTACAGTAATGCACTACAGTTTTTGTCAGTAATTTCAGAAACTGACAGTATATACCTGAGGGTTGGCAAATGCCTGTTAAATGACTTCATTACCACTTGAATGGCTCTTTAACAGTTTCAGTGTTGTGCTAATAGGTCTGGCAGGCTGGAAGGCTTTTTCACTCATAAGTACTAGATACCGTTTTTGGTGGGGGGGGGGAAGGGCTGCAGGTGGGAATGTGGGGGGTTGCAGAAGTCAGGGTATGGAGTGTGGGGGGGCTGGGTATGTGTGATGGGGTGCAGCAGTCAGGGAGGGCAGAGGGCGTGTGAGGGGGGGGTGCAGAAGTCAGGGCAGGGGGCGGTATGTATAGGGGGAGTGCGGGGCCCAGCCTCTGCGCCGCCCAGCCCTGATTCCACACCCTTCCCCAAGGCCCCTTCCCTGCCCCACCTCCTCCCCCGAGCGCACTGCGGCCCTGTTCCTCCCCCTCCCTCCTGGAGCCCCGGCAAACAGCTGTTTGGTGGCAGGGGAAGCGTTGGGATGGGCGGGAACATGGTGTGCTCAGGGGAAAAGATGGGGCGGGGGGGGAGCTTGGCTGCTGGTGGGTGCGGGCGTAGTCTGCAGCAGAAGCCCCAGGAGCCAGCTGGAGCAAGCTTCTGCCCCCGCAGGTGCCCGGCCCTGGGGCCCCCGTCATTGCGGGGCCCCGTGCCAGGGCATCCTGTGTTTTATGGTAAATCCGCCTCTGTATGCCTAAGGAAGGTCCTGGGTGGTAGACACGGAGACTGGGGGATTGGCTGTGTTCCGGGCAGAAACTTAGTGGAGAAACAGCTCCTTTGGGCTTGGGGTGGGCTGGAGAAGCAGGCTTGGGTTTCGGAGCAACGAAAGGGCCTGGGCGGTTTGAGTCCCTCGGGAAACAGGACTGTGTTTGTCCCCAGTGAATAACTCGGATTGTGCCAGATGGAAATAGCTCAGCACAGTCCCGAGTAACAACAAAGGGGCTACCGTAATGCTGCCAATCGTTCGTACGTCATAACTGCCCCCGCCCTCTGGAGCTACCGTAATGCTGCTGACAATGTGCACTGTAAAAAGGGGAGGCTGTCACTGTAATATTGCTGATAATGTCTACTTCATACTGGGGGCCCCCACCAGGCACAATGGTAATGTGCACTTTGTTCTGGGACAGGAGCTCCGCTACAGGGGCTTGCCCCAGGCCCTCTAAAAAAGGGGAGTCCATAGGTGCTATAGTAGTGCTGCTGATAACGTGCACGTCATAATGTCCCCCACCTCCAGGTGCTACTGCAATGTGATGCTGATAATGGGCACGTCATGGGGTCTCCTTCTTAATTTTGGGCCTCTGTGTGCTACCATAATACTGCTAATCATGCCCATGCCGTAAGCGGGCCCTGATTTTGGTCGGCGTTACAGTAGCCGTAGCCCACACAACAATGATCCCAAGCGGCCCAGCTGCACTGCCCCCTGGCTGTTGCTGTCCTCCCCCACCCTCTCCCTTTTAACGCTTTCTCTCTCATTGCTGCTCTCAGATCAGCACCCTACGTTCCCGGGGAGTAGGAGTCACATCACCAGACGAGCACAGCCCGCCTGGATGGCATTACTGCTGGAGTCATTAGAGCAGAAAGGGTTCAAGGGTGCAGTGAGGCGTCGCTCCCTCAGAAAGCCCAGCAGCTGTTTGCCTCTGGGCTGGATTCTGCTTTTGATTCCTTCTGCGTGACGCCACTTCAGACTGGATATCCCGCACCCCATCTCTCCCCATTGGGTCATTCTACTTTCACGGGGCTCTAATCGGAGCCCCACCCACCGCCGTATAGCCGGGTCTCTCCACGAGCCGTTTAGGGACCCGGGCGCTTTGCTGAATTGTCACAATGTGTTTGGAACCCTGTCGGCATTTCCATAGTTTTGGGGGCGTTTCTTAATTCACAGAAATAATTCTGCACGAAGAGAGACGCCGAGACCAAGACATATCTCCTTCCAGGCAAAGCGGTGTCACATGCCAGAGGAGAGGGCGGCCCCTATTTAAAGGCAAGGGGGTGAGGAGGAGCAAAGACCGGGTTTACTTCAGCAGCGAATGTACCAACCATTTAAGGCCAATATCCCAGAGTGGCTGGCTTCTTGAAGAGGCGCCAGGGTCTGGTCTATCCACGATGAACTTTTTAAAGAAGGAGCCCACCTGTAATTAACTGCCCATGTGGCCGGTGGGCAGTGTAGGTAAATTATAGCGTCGAGTGCTTGGCTCTGCTTTGGTTTGTTATGAAATATATAGAAGAGCCCAAATAACCAATATCAGTCAGGTTTATTGCGGAAAGTCAATAATGGCATAGTAAAGGCTGAAAAGTTCAATAAGATTCCACGACAGAAGGCACCCCTGTATTCACACCCGACACACGATTGTAAAAAAATCTTTGTACAAAATACGCCTGCTTGAGGTACCATGTGAGAAGTAAAACTTGCTGGTCATTAATGCACAGTAAAATGTATGTAGCAGCATTATATGTCAAGTAATGAACGTACAAACCCAAAAGACAAGTTGACATCCCAGCCAGGTGTCATCACCTACCAAGCTGCCATTCTCTGGCAAGGAAGCAGGCCAGGAAATTGCAGATGTGATCTTAGTGTAAACAGAATCAGGATGAGCTCCACCCTGACATCTGGTGGTGAGGTGTGGCAAGTTGTGGAAGTTCAGGGGCCGATCTCATTTGCATAGACACACCCACCCCGCCTAGAATGAGGCCATAGCTGCCCAAATGGTCACTTTGGCTGCTGTGGGATCCCCAGTGTCTCTGTTATTGGGGCAGGAAGAATAAATTGTTATTACCCTGATTATGGGAATCAAGGACAGTGGAACTGTACTTGGCCTTTTGTTATGATGGAAGAACTCGCCATCAACTAAGTAGCACTCGCAAGGCAAGGGACACGGGTTCCAAAACTCTGTGAGTTGAAAGACTGGAGACAAATGTTAATATCTGGTGGTGTTGGCCCTTTTGTGAGTGCCCGAAACGTCAACTGCGTCTTTGTCTCTCTCCACGGTGGAATGTCAGAGCTAATTTTGGGTCTATTAGGAGTTTAGCTATAGGTCCTGAGCTGAATTCGCTTTGGCCTTATGGTGCACCAGCACTAAGGCTCCTAGTACTACAAGCTGAAATCACTAAAAAGCTAACATTACTAAGAGCTGAAATCACTGAGCACTGTGTTAAGTAGTGGGGAGCCAGAAGATCTAGAGCGGAGTGGATCTGTTCGTCGACTAGCTAGCAGAGCAGAGTGGCTTGTGGAGCGGATCGGAGTGAAGCCCTATGGAGCTGTGGGGCAGTCAGCTTCAGGTCATGTAAGGTGCCCCTACCCCCACCCCCGCCATGCACCTTTTCACCCAGACTGGGGAGTAAAACTCTCCAGATGAACTTTTAAACTCTGGGGCTGGCCTTTTGGATTGTTGGACTTTTTTTGGACTTTGGGTGATTTCTGGATTGCTGGACTCAAGAGACGTTTGGGTTGTGGGACTCAAGAATCCGAGGGAAAGGACTTGGCCCAATTTGCTGGGGTGGGTGTTTGCTCATGGTTGATGAACCCTAGTTGTGGTGTTTTCCCAATTTAATGCTGATGTCGTTTACCTCATGTTATTAAAGACTGTCTGCTACACCGAGACTCTGTGCTTGCGAGAGGGAAAATATTGCCTCTTTGAGGCACCCAGGGGTGTGTGTAAGATTTTCCCAGGTCACTGGGTGGGGGCTTGAGCCTGTTTTGCATCTTCTTTGATGAGAAGGAACCCCTGTGTACTGAACCCAGCCCTTGCTGCTATCAACTCGGCCTGGCAGAAGGGTTACATCAGCAAATGATGGTATGAAACCTCTCCCGCCCCGGACTCTGTGTCTCCTTGCTCTCAGCTGGAAAGAGCTTTTAACCAGGGGTCACGCTCAGGAAAATGGTTTTCCAAGGGTGACTGAGTTATAAAAAAGAGGCTAAAACATCTCAGGTTCTCTCTTCTTGTCCATCTCTCTCTTTCACCTAAGAGAACAAAAGAAAACAGCCGTGGGACCTCGGGAGCAGATCCTGTCCTGGAACTTGGTTGGCAAAGCTACTGAAAACCTGTGGTAAGAATTTCATCTTGAACCATGTCTAGTTTAAGTTGAGTACTAGGAAGTGTTTTATGTTTGTCTTGTTACCATTTCTGACTATAACTTGTACTTTCTGAAAATCTCTTTCTTTGTAGTTCAATGAACTTGCTTTGTTCTTTCATCACAATTCATCCAGTATTGTGAATCGGGCGGGGAACTCTATTTAAGGTATTGTAGCTCGATGCCCTCGCAGAGGCAATGGACCGAATATATCTGGACAGTGCGGAACAGACATTTCTGTGGGGAAATCCAGGACCGGGAGTGCATCAGGGTCACCGCGCACATAGTAATCGATGCTGCCGGAAGCCAGAGCGTGGCTGGTGGTCGCTAATGGGCCGCCGGGGTCAGAATTGCCGGATCGGGGCTGTGGCGATACGCAGACGCTCAGGGTGTGACCTGTAAGCCATGTGGCTGTTTGTGAGCGGCCCAGCTCGGGAGCCACAGCAGCAAGGCACCCCACGTTGCAGAGGAGGTCGTGACACGGCCGCTCACCGATCCGGATCGCACCCCAAAATGTCTCAGACACCAGTTTCCGGAAAGCCGTCTCACGTGCCGTTGTATTTCACGCTAGCAGCATTTGTAAGATGATTTTACAAGTTATAAAACTCTTCACATGTCACTAAAATCCAGCCCATCGGTTTGTCCCAGTTCTTCAGCTTGTTGTAAACCTTTCATTCTCCTTGTTTTGGATACTAGCATTCTAGGTACTGGCACCAGAAGGAACTTCTGTAACTTGTCCTGGGGCAAAATACAAACATATTTGGATTTTTTGACAAGTGACCTATCTGCTTATGTCACAAACCAGGCAGTACTATCGCGGCATGTTGCAGAATATGAGAACGTAGCTTACCTCGGTGCTCAGACCATCCTGCTTTCTGCTTACAATGCAGAGCCATCCCAGGGCGGCCGCCGCAATCCACCTCCTGAGACCAGGGGCTTATTTGTCTGATGGGTTAATAAAGGGCTCGGTGACTAGTCACCAATCGCCGGGTTGACTCATTGCTGCCGCTTTGTTGCCTGTGACACAAGAGTATTGTAATGGTAACTGGCAAGGGGGTGCGGAGGCGGGGTTACAAAAATCTCCTGAGTCTGCTATGAACATTCTGGTTCTTCCAAAGAATTTCAGGTGAAAGCGGTGGACATGCTACTCATGAATATTGTTGTGAAATGGTGCACAGATACTATATAAGGAGTTAGGTATATATCCTGAAAATCTGTGTTTAAACTCTGCAAAGTGTATCTCTCTGTTGGGATGCAACTGTAGCATTGTAAAATAGCAGAATGCATGCCTGTTTACATACAAAGAGATGCGAAGTCAACAGAAAAGGAGCATGCAGGCGAAAACAAGCCCTGGGGGATTATCCTGCCTCAGAGTAAAGAGACACCGCCTTCACCCTGCACCTGGGAAGCGAACGGACAGCGTGGGTCGCAGTTAGCCTCGGTTGAAAAAGCTGCAGAGGATTTTGGGTGAGAGAAACGTCTTCAGCCACGAGGTTAACCTGCGAGTTTAATTAAGTGTCTAGAAAGTGGTTGTTTAGGTCATGACTTGTTTCCAAACAACTGGTTTCAGAGTAACAGCCGTGTTAGTCTGTATTCGCAAAAAGAAAAAGAGTACTTGTGGCACCTTAGAGACTAACCAATTTATTTGAGCATGAGCTTTCGTGAGCTACAGCTCACTTCATCGGATGCATACCGTGGAAACTGCAGCAGACTTTATATACACACAGAGAATATGAAACAATACCTCCTCCCACCCCACTGTCCTGCTGGTAATAGCTTATCTAAAGTGATCATCAGGTTGGGCCATTTCCAGCGCAAATCCAGGTTTTCTCACCCTCCACCCCCCCACACACAAATTCACTCTCCTGCTGGTGATAGCCCATCCAAAGTGACAACTCTTTACACAATGTGCATGATAATCAAGTTGGGCCATTTCCTGCACAAATCCAGGTTCTCTCACCCCCTCACCCCCCCTCCCAAAAACCACACACACAAACTCACTATCCTGCTGGTAATAGCTCATCCAAAGTGACCATTTTCCCTACAATGTGCATGATAATCAAGGTGGGCCATTTCCAGCACAAATCCAGGTTTTCTCACACACCCCCCCAACCCCCATACACACACAAACTCACTCTCCTGCTGGTAATAGCTCATCCAAACTGACCACTCTCCAAGTTTAAATCCAAGTTAAACCAGAACATCTGGGGGGGAGGGGGGGAGGAAAAACAAGGGGAAATAGAATCATAGAATATCAGGGTTGGAAGGGACCCCTGAAGCTCATCTAGTCCAACCCCCTGCTCGAAGCAGGACCAATTCCCAGTTAAATCATCCCAGCCAGGGCTTTGTCAAGCCTGACCTTAAAAACCTCTAAGGAAGGAGATTCTACCACCTCCCTAGGTAAGGCATTCCAGTGTTTCACCACCCTCTTAGTGAAAAAGTTTTTCCTAATATCCAATCTAAACCTCCCCCACTGCAACTTGAGACCATTACTCCTCGTTCTGTCATCTGCTACCCTTGAGAACAGTCTAGAGCCATCCTCTTTGGAACCCCCTTTCAGGTAGTTGAAAGCAGCTATCAAATCCCCCTCATTCTTCTCTTCTGCAGGCTAAACAATCCCAGCTCCCTCAGCCTCTCCTCATAAGTCATGTGTTCTAGACCCCTAATCATTTTTGTTGCCCTTCGCTGGACTCTCTCCAATTTATCCACATCCTTCTTGTAGTGTGGGGCCCAAAACTGGACACAGTACTCCAGATGAGGCCTCACCAATGTCGAATAGAGGGGAACGATCACGTCCTCGATCTGCTCGCTATGCCCCTACTTATACATCCCAAAATGCCATTGGCCTTCTTGGCAACAAGGGCACACTGCTGACTCATATCCAGCTTCTGTCCACTGTCACCCCTAGGTCCTTTTCTGCAGAACTGCTGCCGAGCCATTCGGTCCCTAGTCTGTAGCGGTGCATTGGGTTCTTCCGTCCTAAGTGCAGGACCCTGCACTTATCCTTATTGAACCTCATCAGATTTCTTTGGCCCAATCCTCCAATTTGTCTAGGTCCTTCTGTATCCTATCCCTCCCCTCCAGCGTATCTACCACTCCTCCCAGTTTAGTATCATCCGCAAATTTGCTGAGAGTGCAATCCACACCATCCTCCAGATAGGCTACCTTGCATAATGACTTAGCCACTCCCAGTCTCTATTTAAGCCTAAATTAATAGTATACAATTTGCAAATGAATTCCAATTCAGCAGTTTCTCGCTGGAGTCTGGATTTGAAGTTTTTTTGTTTTAAGATAGCGACCTTCATGTCTGTGATTGCGTGACCAGAGAGATTGAAGTGTTCTCCGACTGGTTTATGAATGTTGTAATTCTTGACATCTGATTTGTGTCCATTTATTCTTTTACGTAGAGACTGTCCAGTTTGACCAATGTAAATGGCAGAGGGCATTGCTGGCACATGATGGCATATATCACATTGGTGGATGTGCAGGTGAACAAGCCTCTGATAGTGTGGCTGATGTTATTAGGCCCTGTGATGGTGTCCCCTGAATAGATATATGGGCACAATTGGCAACGGGCTTTGTTGCAAGGATAAGTTCCTGGGTTAGTGGTTCTGTTGTGTGGTATGTGGTTGTTGGTGAGTATTTGCTTCAGGTTGCGGGCTGTCTGTAGGCAAGGACTGGCCTGTCTCCCAAGATTTGTGAGAGTGTTGGGTCATCCTTTAGGATAGGTTGTAGATCCTTAATAATGCGTTGGAGGGGGTTTTAGTTGGGGGCTGAAGGTGACCGCTAGTGGCGTTCTGTTATTTTCTTTGTTAGGCCTGTCCTGTAGTAGGTAACTTCTGGGAACTCTTCTGGCTCTATCAATCTGTTTCTTTACTTCCGCAGGTGGGTATTGTAGTTGTAAGAAAGCTTGACAGAGATCTTGTAGGTGTTTGTCTCTGTCTGAGGGGTTGGAGCAAATGCGGTTGTATCGCAGAGCTTGGCTGTAGACGATGGATCGTGTGGTGTGGTCAGGGTGAAAGCTGGAGGCATGCAGGTAGGAATAGCGGTCAGTAGGTTTCCGGTATAGGGTGGTGTTTATGTGACCATTGTTTATTAGCACTGTAGTGTCCAGGAAGTGAATCTCTTGTGTGGACTGGACCAGGCTGAGGTTGGTGGTGGGATGGAAATTGTTGAAATCATGGTGGAATTCCTCAAGGGCTTCTTTTCCATGGGTCCAGATGATGAAGATGTCATCAATATAGCGCAAGTAGAGTAGGGGCTTTAGGGGACGAGAGCTGAGGAAGCGTTGTTCTAAATCAGCCATAAAAATGTTGGCATACTGTGGGGCCATGCGGGTACCCATAGCAGTGGCGCTGATCTGAAGGTATACATTGTCCCCAAATGTGAAATAGTTATGGGTAAGGACAAAGTCACAAAGTTCAGCCACCAGGTTAGCCGTGACATTATCGGGGATAGTGTTCCTGATGGCTTGTAGTCCATCTTTGTGTGGAATGTTGGTGTAGAGGGCTTCTACATCCATAGTGGCCAGGATGGTGTTATCAGGAAGATCACCGATGGATTGAAATTTCCTCAGGAAGTCAGTGGTGTCTCGAAGGTAGCTGGGAGTGCTGGTAGCGAGGGCCTGAGGAGGGAGTCTACATAGCCAGACAATCCTGCTGTGAGGGTGCCAGTGCCTGAGATGATGGGGCGCCCAGGATTTCCAGGTTTATGGATCTTGGGTAGTAGATAGAATATCCCAGGTCGGGGTTCCAGGGGTGTGTCTGTGCGGATTTGATCTTGTGCTTTTTCAGGAAGTTTCTTGAGCAAATGCTGTAGTTGCTTTTGGGGGTGAGGGAGTGAGAGAACCTGGATTTGTGCAGGAAATGGCCCAACTTGATTATCATGCACATTGTGTAAAGAGTTGTCACTTTGGATGGGCTATCACCAGCAGGAGAGTGAATTTGTGTGGGGGGTGGAGGGTGAGAAAACCTGGATTTGCGCTGGAAATGGCCCAACCTGATGATCACTTTAGATAAGCTATTACCAGCAGGACAGTGGGGTGGGAGGAGGTATTGTTTCATATTCTCTGTGTGTATATAAATGTATAAATGCATTCTCCTTTTCACTAATCTCGGCGCCTGCGGTTAAGCCAAGTGCGGGTCCTGAGTTATATCTTACAAACCGGTATGTCCTGTTGATTTGGGAAGGTGTTCAGTGGCAGGCACAGGCTGGGCACTGCAGTGGGTGTGTGAACCTAGGTCTTCCCAGCAAGCGGCTCCAGGCTCCAAGAGGCGTGAGGGGGCCCTGGGCAGGTTCCCGTCCCAGGAGAAACTTAATGAGCCCAGCTCTGGGCGTGTAATACAATACCCTAACTGTTCTGTTCTGCACATTGTGGTGTCACATCAAGGGGAAGGCAGCTGTCGGGGGGGGGGGGGAATGTGTAAAAAAACGGTGACAGAGGGTTGGTTATTGCTGGCCTGAATCCTCTGCCCCATCCTCTCTGGTTATTTCAGAGTCAGCTTTTGGTGCAGTGACTCGGTGTCGCTGCCTCAAGGAGTAATGAAGCCTCGCGGGTGGGGGGGCAATCTGCTCTCAGCTGGGGAAAGCGAGCTGCCCTGTTGCTGGTGCAGCCACCCGCCAGCCCCGCTCCGCCGCACGCTAACCAACCAGCCTCGCCGCCGGCAGCCCGCCGACCCGCCCCGCCCCGCCCCACGCACGACTCCCCAGGTCTGCGCCCAGCCCGCCCCCCAAAGCGGGCCGGGCATGCGCATTTGGGAACAGCGTCCTCATTGGCTGGGGACGCTACCAATCGGGAGGCGCAAGGCGGGGCTACAGAGCAGGAAGCGGCGACCGCTCCAGCGTCGGGAGCAGGGAAGGGGCTAGAGCGGCGCGTGTCCGGCTGCTGGGCCTCGGAGAGCCCCCGGGCCGCTCCCTGCGCTGCAGGCCCCCGATAACGGTAAGAGACGGAACCTTTCTCGCCCTCGCCCCCCCCCCCCCAACGGGGGGAGCCGGGCGGTGTCAGCGGGCCGGGCCGGCAGAGCGGGGGGGGGTCTCCTCTGGGCGGATACTCCCAGGGAAGTTAGTTAGTGACAGACCGAGCCCCGTAAAGTCTCAGGAAGCAGAGCACGGATGAGCCCTGGCGTCTTTGTAACAGACGCCTGCTAGCACAAAATGACTTGGTAGAAAGAACCAACCACGAATGTAAGAACTGGGTTCCTCAGTGTGTCCTCCCACACTTTGGGTGTCTTGAAATTTTGCATTTTATTTGGGGAATGTTAAAACAACAATACACAGTTTGAACAAATACAACATAACCATTTGTTCCCAGTAGTATTTACAGGTTTCCTAATCTTCAAAAGAAATTTTCCATCTTTATGTACACCCTCTTCCCATGTAATATCAATCACTGACTACACGGGAAGTGGGTGTCAAAAGTTTTCATAAATAAATGTTTCAGTTCTGGATGTATATGTTTATGACCTACCAACTTTTAGCAGTTTCACTCACCAGTGGTTTCTCTGATAAATGAAAGGCTGTTAAGACAAACCAAACTGGTTCAATAAGTCTTTATTTTTCAGTGAAAATTCAGCCTAATCCAAGAACCATTGGCTTCTGTTTAAGGCCATTAATGTCACAGCCACACCTCAATATTTTTGTTTTTGTTGGAGTGCAAATATTTTTATAAATGAAAAAAGTCACTTTACTTCAATCTTCAGGCACAGTTTCTTAATGTAACAATATATAGGTCTTTAGTTCTAACCATAAGTTTCATTTTCATAAAATTTAAAACGGTAATCTTCTTTTAAACAATCAAAAAATAATGGGCTTTCACAGAAAGCAAGCAACATACATAATCTTGAACCAGTTACTGAAATGGTATTTCCCCTCCCCCTGCAAACAGGGAGCAGATAGTGAAGGCTTTGCTTCTGATGATCATCAAGGGAAAGTCAGTTTCTAAGGGCTTTCACCAGACAAGAGATCTTGAATCAGAGTTTAATGTCCTGTGACTCTGACATTTTTGCAAGTGTTTTCTTTACTCGCAGGGCTGTGAGGCGAGAAGCAGGGTTGTGAGCCCAACACTCTGTCATGAGTTTTCCCATTTGTCTTAGGCACTGTGGAAAGGACAAAAAACATAAAAAAGGATAGGCGATGCAACAAATAGATATATCTATCTGACCTCGGTATTACTTATCAAGCCTTTTCCCTATTCTTTGGAGAAGTTTTAATGGGCGGTGTGGCTTTTCTGTATTACCCTTAACATCATAGTATTGCAAAACAGTGCAGTTTGGTAACATAATAATAAAAAAATGCTTGCTTTATTTTAAAGGACTTCTTACCTCATCACTGCTCCATCTATTGGGGAATGAAGGACGGAGCTTCTTGATGCACACAACTTCCCGCATGTCCTCATAGGAGGGGTCAGTGGGCACAAGATCATAGTATGGAAGCTGGTATTCTTCAACTATTCCTGAAAGAAACATTTTCCAGATGCATCATAACTGCAGGATAAAAGGATGTCTGCACTGTATCAACTACACCCTCTTATAGACACGATCCATGCAAGCTATTCTGTACTATTATCTATATTATGGGTCACCATCCTAGGAAATGTGGAAAAGTCTAAAACAGCAATGGGAGGGGCTCTCCCCCAAGGTTAGTTTATTGCAACCGCAACCAAATGAACAACATGTTTGTCATTTACCTCCCGAGACACCTCTCCTTGCTACCTCCCAAAGGATGAGTCCAAAACTGTACATATCAGCCATGATATACGACTGGAAGTGATTCCTATTCAGGCTTTCATCCAGCACCTCAGGAGGCATATAGCGCTTTGTTCCTACCCGGGTGTTTGGTGGTATGTCCACCTCATTTGTATCACTAAAAGAAAAAAAGGATCAAACAAACATAACTTGTGGCACTTTAGAAACGAAGTGAGCAACAGCTCACTTCTAAAGAGCAATAAATGGTTGGCTTTAATACATGCGCTGAATTTGATTTGTAGGAAATGAAACAAAATGCAGCACAACCAGCGTACTTTTCAATACATCCCAATTAATTAGTTATATGGGCAGATTATTTGTTGGATCACGAATGTAACACCCTGCCCCCCATCCCGGTCTCTGGTCTCTCATTTCAGCATGCAGTAATATACAACTATAAACTCAGGGTTGACACACACAGAAATTTGTTACTCACCTAATAAATTTAACTGCCAAGCCCAGGTCTGCTATACAGCAGGTTCCATTCTTTTTCACGAGAATGTTCTTACTTTTCAGATCACGGTGGGCAATAGCTGGTTTGCCTTGAGTACTGAAGATCTCCGTGTGCAAGTGGCACAAGCCACTAACTGAGGAATAGGCCAGTTTTAGCATGGCTTTTGTATCCAAGGTAGTGGATTTCAGATAATCATACAGGGAGCCATTCTCATGGTAGTCTGTGATAAGATACAGTTGGGTCCAAGACCCTGTACCTTTAATGTCTGCAGCAATGAACCCTGTGGGAGGGGGGAAATATTTTCAGATTAATATTTTTCAGGGCTTTTGAACACCACACACTTAAAAATGTGGATTATACTGCCTGAAAAAAGTCTGCAACAATTACTCCGAGTGATTATATGGCTATATTAAGAACAGCCCCTGCTAAAATTTATCAATGCTTTCTGTCTAATCCCCAGATTAAGGGTTAAACTTGCGCAAGGGGCAAGGTCTGCTCAGTTCTTGGTCACTCCAGGGATGAGACATACTTCCCAGCAGTGTGGCCCAACATCGCCCCCTACAGAAAGCTCTGCTACATGGTGTCATTTTTTAAAAAACCCCAGACGCAGGTGGGAGAAACAGCTGTATGGTTGTTGGGGATTACAGCCTCCCCAATCCAGTTACTCTCTATCTGCAGGGAGACCCTTAAAATGATTTTGCATGAAGAAAAGGACATCAGCAAATACAAAGTTATTAGTGAGAATAACGAAGAAACATTTCACTCGCTTACCCAAAATGTTTTCATGCCTCATCAGGACAGTCTGATAGATTTCTGTCTCTCTGAACCAGCTGGCCTCCTCAGTGGTGAAGAACACTTTTACAGCTACCTTTTCTCCACGCCACTTTCCCATCCAAACTTCTCCATAGCGACCTTTCCCTATCTGCTTCACCATCTGAATCTGCTTTGCTATAGTCCTTTGGACCTGTTAAATCCCAAGAAATACAGTTTAAATATACTCCCCAACACGTGTGTTTCATCTCTCTTTGTCTGTCTCCTCGCATGCTAAAACATAGGAACCCTCGCACAAAGAGCTGGAATGCACAGGCCTCGCACAGAGTTGGGGGAGATGGAATCTCCCGCTGCTTCCCAGAGGATGGAGTAGTAGCGCGGGCACTCTGGTAGTCTGGCCACACCTACAAGCACACGTGACTTTATGCCAGTGGATCAGCATAGGCATAGATCTACCTGACAGTTTCAAACATAGGAGCTTAAAGTCAGGATCCTAAATCCATTTTTAGGATCCCCAACAGAGCTGACCAAAAAACCCGAATTAGCATCCTAGGAAACGTTAATGCTAAATGAAAAGTTCTGGAAAAAAAAATCAATTTGGAATGCAGCATTTGGATATTTCCAAACTGAAACAAAATATATTGATGAGTAGGCCATAGGGGAGACACTGGTGCGTCATGGAAGATACAGTCCAACCAGGGAGTCTAGCCCTTAGGCAAATGGAAAAATTTCAGCAACATCAACATTTTCCAGTGGAAACCACATTGACTTTTGAAAACACAGGGACAGAAAATTCCCAACCAGCTCTAGGAACTGCCCTGATTTTTCAAAATGCTGTGTACCCAGCAGCTCTCATTGACTTTAACAGGAGACAATAGAAGATGCTCAGCGCCTTTAAGAACCAGAGCTGGGATTTTCAGACGTGTCAGCCCCCAACAACGAGTGAAGTTTACTGAGTCTCTCTCAAAAATCCTACCCCATTTTTTAATTATGAGCCCATATATGGATTTGGGAGCCGAATTCTGGGCTCCTATTTGTAAAAATGTCAGCCACAAGTTTTTAGTTAGTTTGCTAAAATGCAGGCGTTAGGAAGCCTGAGTGGCTACAAACGTATCATTATTATTCATAAAGAGTATTTTTCCCCAAAACATTAATTTAGGAGCACAGCGTAAAATCTGTGTTTATGCACTGACATCAGTTTCGTCAAGTAGCTTCATTCTGAATAAAAGCTAGATTCAAAGCACCTGCTGACATATACCAGAAGTTTCGCACAGCCGACAGCACCGCAGAGTAATTTCTGATGAGGATGACAGATCAGACACAGAGTTAAGGAAGACTGACCGCTCATACACTCAACAACTAAACCTATTATGACTAAAAAATCCACCTTGGGCGATTACAGACTAACTTACCCTCTTGGGAATGAGACATGTCTGGAGGCTATATATTCCGAACAATTCACAGAAGAAAACTAGAGTAAAAGTTGTGATCCAGCCTACAAATACATGAATGTTCACAGCTCTATTTCCCAGTCACAAGACAGTACAATAGAATATTGAAATGGCAACCGCTCGTGCCTCAGTATTACCTGTTCAAGCCTGAGTGGAAACGTTCTGGCTTTTGTAGGAAATATTTTAAAACAAACAAAATTTTGTAATTGAGTCCAGTGCAGTTGCATCTTTCTGCACCAGGCGTTATATTTAAATATTAAAGTATAGATTTTGCCTTCGCCCACGTAAAACTCTCATGAAATTCAATGCACTCAAATAGCAGTGTTATCTGAGTGCTTAATGAGTTACATTAATTCAATGTCCTCCCAAAACATTCTGATAAACATTCAAAACTGGATTTCAAAAACAATTTGCTACGCTTTCATTTTCTCCGAAACTGACCGCAATTCAGTGCAAGCTGTCACATTCCTTATGAACACAGACCAGGTCTGAAACGGTTCGGCTCCAGTCTGAAAGCATGTGAAACCTGGCAGGTGAGGTCTGTTTTTGTTTATGTTAAACTATGATGTTTAAACTATTTTTAAATGGAAAAAATAACCGAACCTGTGTAACAACAGCTCTGCAAGTTCCTTCTCTGATTTGCATATAAATGGAAGCTGAATTTTTACAGACTGAGTATGTATTATCACACTATCCGATGGTGGCTTCAGTGCAGTTATTTTGATTTACACCAGTGCGAGCCAAGAACAGAAATTGAGCTTAAGTTGTTTTTAAACTGGTTTATTCTCCTTTATACTTTGAAGTAGTGACTGAACAGTTCTATTACACTGGAATTTTTCTTTCACATTTTGTAATATAATTTTAGTGTTGTTGCTTTCCAATTTTCCTACTTTAAAGAATACATCCTGAAAAATAATGGAATTATATCGTATAACTTAATTTGTGTAAATATATGTAATGGCATCATAAAGCACATGCAGTTGCCATATTTAATGATGAAAAGTTCCTGATTAAATTATATTAAGAAAATGAAAATCACATTTCTGTTATGAGTTTTCAAAAGGCGGAATACTACATGGAAGACCTTAAGTTGGTTTCTTCCTACTAGAGCTGGTCAAACTATTGTGTTCAGTTTATTTTATTTCATGCATTTAGTTCTTTTTCTGTTCATAAATGGCTTGTGATGTTTAAAAATATGCATATTATTCTAAATTGTTTGACAAACAGATTTTACAAACATTTTTTTGTTAGGGATTGATTGTAAACTCTTCACAGTGAACAATCCATTCAGTTGTCAATATTTGTATTTTTCTACACAAACATTGACACTGATCAGCTAAGGAAACAGGACATTTTGCTTCTCTTCTCTGACAGGATGAGCTAAATATTTACATACTACTTCCGCTGTTGCTTGAATAGAATTTTGTTTTGTCACAAAAGCGGTTTTGCATCTTGAATGAAAACATCTCGGCGAAAGGCACAAAACTTGCTGTTTGTAAAATTCATACAAAGTTTTGGTCATACGAACGTTTGTGACCAGAGCTGTGATGCGTTCAATCAAAAACCAACAAGTATTTATACATGTAATGATAAAAATGTACGAGTAAGATTAATTGAATGTCCTGTGTCTATTGTGGCAAACTCCACAACCTATTGAAACAGCTCTACCTTCGTATACCTTGAAAATGGCTTGGTTCTCTGTGCTTTTGGCCCTGGTTTTGCAGCTTCTCGGAGGCATACTGAGGTAAATGGAGCTCTGCCTGGAGGCAGAGATTTGCCTGTGTAACCCAGCTTGCAGGGTAGGAACCTTTATTTACAAGTTTTTAAAACGCTTCAGCAGGGCTTAGAAGTTGAATGGCAACATTCAACCTGCAGCAAACTTTTATGCTAGAGATACAATCACCTAAAAAAGGCACCCAACAGCTCACAGTGGTTTCTCACAGCACCATTTACACTACCTTAAATATATGGGCTTGACTAAGAGCCACCATATAATTATGAATAATACAAGTAAATCTGAGAGAGAAAATGAACAAGGTTCAATGTCAGAGGAACGATAGTATCTTGGTTAAAGTTTGGCTTTGTTGTAACCTTTGTATCCGATATAATAAGCGAGCTACAAAAGAAAGACAATATTGTTTATCATAAACTGACATTTTACAAGTTCTGCAAAAAAAAAAATGGTTTGCTTTCTCTGAAACAACTTTAAATGTTTTCTATTGAAACAAATAATAAAGAAGCTGGACATAAACACTTTTAAAATGAAAGATAGTGTTTTTCACCAGACATCATTGTACGTATTTGTTACAGGCAGGGGCGTCCCCTCTTGGACAATAAGTATCAATCCATGCACTTCTAAGCTGCCTATTGCTGTGATAACTATCTGACAAACATATCTTATTGTGTTTACCATAGCAAAAGCTTTAGGGCTGCAATGCAACTTCCCCATCATGAACCTGTTTTCACAGCCTTACAATTGTCTTAGAAAATCACTGGTTGCGGTAAAAGTTTGAGGAAAACCTGTTTATGACTTTTTAGTTAGGCAACGGGGCAGGAGGAAGTGAGGAATATTTCTTGATTTATAAAAGAAATTACAGGCAGGGCAAACAGAGCCCCAGCAGCTGAATTCTATGCGCTCTCAGCAGCAGATCCTGCAATCTGCTGAAGAGAGTGGGGCTCACGCTGCCAATGGGATCAAAGGACCTGGACAGTTTGACGGTTAACCCACCCTACCTATGCCGTTTAAAAAAACAACAACAAAACTTAGGGAGGTGGGTAAAAACACATTTGGAAAAACCATATTGCTCCAACCAGCTCTACTTTTTCTCCTTTTATTTCTGTCATTAAAAGCCTTAGGAAACTAAGTGCAAAAATCTACATTAAGGCTGTGTTAAGGCTATGGAGTATACAGTAATATTCTGTGTCCTGATTCGAAATGTAGCAGCCCATCTGCTTAACAATCTGGGTTGCTGTGAACGCATTCAACCCAGTACTCTGCTCTCTGCACTGGATCCCCAATGAATGTAGAATCCAGTTTACAGTCTATGGCCTGTTTTCCTACTGCCTCCATGGAAATGCCTTTGGCTACCTGAGAGATTGACCCTCTCATGCAATGGCTATGATCTCCCTTGACAGCTGTGTTTCACTGGAACAACGAAACTGCCGGTCAATACAGAGAGGTTTGTGAGAACAGCAGACTGAGCTTTCACAGGAGCTGGAGCTACACCATGGTGCTCATGCTCACACCCGGAAAGAATAACTCGGGACCTCACCACTCTTGGAATCAACTGCAAAGCTCATTCTGCTGCTTATCTGTCTGTCAATGGTCATGTTGACATTTGGAAAACCATCTGTGTTTCAAAACATAACATATTTTAATTAATATGATTTTAAACAGGACTTCGCAGCTACTAGAGACTGGACAAGTTGTATTTAAAAGCAAGTTAGTTGGTTGTGGTCAATCCTAAACTCCCTCCCTAGTTTCAACACATTGTAAAACATGACCTACACTCTTGGTCTAGACATGGCCAATAAGTTAATACAAATGTGAACAAATTGAGCTATTCTCATTTAGGCAGTGAAAGAAGAAAGAAAGAGCAACAGTTATTGTTATTTCTATCTTTAAGTATTTGGAAGTTGCTCAGATACTACGGCGATGCATGCTTTATATGGAGGTAGACAGGAGCGATGTATAACTTCTCAGCTATGCGTTTGGAAAATGACAAGAAAAGAAATGAATTGTTTTAAAAGGTAGTTTTTAAAATAAGTATCTTGAGTCTTCTGCGATGCCAGGAAGTGCAGGAGGTCCCAGGTTGTCAGGTTATCAGAAAACTAAAACACAGATGAATGGAAAAGCCATGAGCTTTACTCTGAAATCTAAACCTTCTCGCTGAAACGGAGCCTTCTTTAGTACATTGGGTCTCGGTCACAGTTACATTTGAGACAACTTATACATGTTATACTCTATTCAATTGGCATACCTTTAACCTACAAGACTTTTGTAGCGCAAAATACAGTGATTCTACTCTCAGTTTTTTAATGCTAAATGAAGCCAAGGTGTAAAAGGATTCCACGTAACCATCCTGTCTCTAAAAATAATGTAACTGTGTTTATAAAAAGCACCACATCTAAGCTTGTAGGCCGTATTCTGATCTCATTTACACTGGTGAGATATTTACTCATTTACAAATTTACAAAGGTAAATCCCACTGAAGTCTATGGGGTTAAGCCGGATTTATGTTGGTGTTCCTGAGATCAGATGCAGATCCTGGTACGTGAAATAAAGAGCTCTGATTCTTAAGTATTTATTCTCCAACTGATATCCTCGTCATTTCTGAGGACAGACAACCAGAACCTAATTCTTCCTACACATACTAACATAATTCCTATAAATCCCCTTGAATTTTTATGCTGGGGGTGTCTTTGCCTTACAGAGTTATGTGTGTATCTAAATTACATTCCTTTCTTACCAGCAGAGGGAGCCCAGACCCACTTCCTGAGCTCTGAGACTGTTCAATCAAGTCTTTCAGGGATTCCCCTGGAGGAATGTAAGTCTCATCCTGTTCAAGTCCAATGCTGTAACGAGGTCTGCTTTCTTGCCTTTTATGCCTACGATTTTAGTGAAAATTAAATTAGTCGACAGTACAATGAGGAAGGCATGCTATGTAGAAAACGCTGCTCACATTTAATTTTTAGTCATGCACAAGTTCCTGGCATTTACCCGAAGTACGTGCTAGCCTCGTCGATGACTATTTTCTGATCTAGTCGCAACATTAGAACGCTTTAGGTCTACAGAAGGGGCTGACTATCATCTTGCTGGGGAATCCAGCATAATTTTGCATAGCCAAGTACCAACTTTAAACCTCTAATTCAGAGAATAGTCCTAAAAACAGAGATGCAGTAAATACCTCAACTTTTTGTTATGGATGTTTTGGATCTTTTCTGACCAAAGAGAGGCATTTTTACAAATTTGCCTATGCTTGCTGAATCTATCTCCCTCTTTGGGTATAGTTTGTGAATTTGTGTGCACTGTGTTAATAGGCTTATGAGCTTTACTTTATTTACTATACAGTGTCTTTACACCATTGTTTTCTTTCATTTTCACTGAATACTATTTTGTGTTATTTCCTACTGGAAAGCTTTTTAGGATATACTTTCTATGAAGGATGCTATACAAAAGACCAACTATATTGTAGGGCATTATATCAAAGTCTTTCTGATTTTAACATTAGCAAAATATACAAATTTTCCCTATAATAAAAATAAAGGTTTTTTTAATTGTTCCCCAATTCCCTCCTGTTGTTTTTTTAATTTTACAGTTCATAAGCCGGGGTGGGGGTGTGATGTTGGGAAGAAATGTGAAGCAGACGACGCTTAAATACTTCCGGCTTACCTGAAGTAACAGAATATGATGATAAGTACCAGGAGTATACTGCAAACAGTCACTGAGATCAGCAAGGCCTTATGGTGAATGTTTCCTTCAACAAAATCTGGTTTAAAAAATAAAAAAAGCTCTGTACAATGGCTGTATTTTTGTCTTAGAATACAAAAATACTCTCTAATACCTGAGATGCCTTTCACGTTAGGTTGGGTGTAAAATGCATTCTGCCTTCCTGAATTTAGTTTCACATGTAAAAAGACATACAAGAATTTATAAATCTATTAAGCAACAGAATTGTCCCCTTTCTTTTCGACTTGTGTAACGTTGTGTAATGTATCACTTGATTTCAGAGCCATTTTATGTGCTCCTTCTTCAGCCCTCATCCAACGGCGCAAACGTAGCACATGGAACAGCAATCGAGGGCCTGACTGACCCTGCAGTCTTTACTCAGACAAAGATCTCACTGGTAACCCTGGCGCTTTTGACTGCGTTTGCAAGGGAGTATTTTAGCCCTTCATGACCGCTAGCCCCCCACCCCCTCAAACCTGGGATTTATAATAGTCCTGTATCTTACATATCTTGTCAGCTAGGACACAGACTAGTTTGGTGCCTCTATCTTAATTAACGTTTATTAATTTAAGAAAACTATGAGAGTCTTAACAAAAGCAATTAATATACCCAACTTGTGTCTATCCTAGCAGAGAAGACATACAAGGGATGTCTAATCCCTGCTAGGGCATAGAGCTAAAGTCCTTAAAGTTATATTTACATCACTGTAAGGATCGCTGTCTCTCTCTCTCTCTCTCTCACAGCACTTTAGCAGGAAAAAATATTTGTTTTTGATTCTTGCACTTGTAGAAAAATGTGTCATTGCAGATGAGCCGTTCTTTAAAACCGCTTGAAAATGCAATATTACCAAGCAATATGTAAGAATTGTGACGCTATAAAAATAACTGAAAAGTTTGGATAAATCCTGGCACGCCATACCCATTTTCTGCTTTAAAATTTAGCTGTCATCTCCCAATTTGTATCCTCATTTCAGACACATATTCTCATGCTGAAAACTGAAGAAATCCTGCACCATCTTCTTTTAAAACGACAAAGTCTCAAAACTGTGATACTTTAGCACGCTCCCCATCCCCAGCCTGGTGTTCACTTTCATGCAGATAAGGACGAGGTTTTCGGAAGCCTTCACCGTCTGATTGTCTTGCATCTTCCACACAAATGCTGAACACGCAGTAAACTGTGAGAATTCTATCCTTATCGACTCATCCTGGAATAACACTATTATGTTTCAGATATACTAGGGTAATGAGACAAGGAGGATCCGAGGGGAATCTTGGCTTACTGTCACGCACCTCTATTTTAAAGATCCAGTTCCCTCTCCCAGCTTTGCTTCCAAGTATTTCCTTCCCTCCCCTTCCCATCATGAACAGGGATTACTGAGCATTATCTGCCTTGTGAGCACATTGGTCATGTTTTAACCTGACATTATCTGCTCCTGGAGCATTAACAATGTAAACATTCAAGACGTGGCCATTGCCTTTGAAAGGAGACACTGACACAGGGCCTATCGGGAAAACACTAGAGCACATCATTCTCATCAGAGCAGCAGATTTCTACCTGGACCGTCACTCTGAGCGTGCCGGGAGCTGAAACCGAGAACCCACTGGGGAGTCCAGTTCTCTCTGTGAAAGAGGGGGCGGTTCAGGGGAGCCAAGGTTCTATTTCATCGTTTATTAGCAGTCGATGTTCTCCAGTCATTTCCCTCTGAAATGTGTGGTTTGTAACAGTTTAAGGTGTCACTGCCTATTAGCCCAGGAGAGGCTAAGCAGAGTCTGCAGACTATAGGGGGAGAATTCTTCAGACTCTGGAGAATATGGAAATTTGTTTGCAGCAAGGGGTTTCTCGTTTCATAGAACAGGTGACAATAAAAACTGGGCTGGCGGTTTTTGTGCTTCTCTAGCAAAAGTGTTGAGTGCCACACATACATACAGGGCTCAGTCCTGATCTTGCTTACACCAGAGTAAACCAAGAAGTGACCCTATTCAGGTAAATGAAGTTACACCCATCAGAAACTGTAATGAGATCACAATTATGCTTCCTCTTCTTTAGTATTCTTAATGGATTATGTGTGTGTGTATAAAAATTGAATCGAATAAAGAGCACTGACGATGATTCTGCAAAGAAGAGTGGCTAGCATTCTACAAACTGTGGCCAACACTTCCAAACTTGGTTACCCAAAGTCAGGCACCTACAATCCCTATTTAGGCCCTTGCATAAAAGTGCTGAGCGTCCTCAACTTCTACAGAAGTTAAAAGGAGGGGCAAGTGCTCTGCACCTCTTAAAATAAGGCGCCCAACTTTAGGAAGACACACTTGAAAATGCTGATTTACATTTTTTCTGTGATCAAAGGCATTTGTGTGGGAGGAAAAAAAATCCCAGAAAGCACTTAAAGAAAAAAGGGAATCTCGGTGTGAAAGATAAGTTCTCCATTTTAGCCTATAAAATTGAGGGAGGCTGGACTAGTTACAGCTATGAAGGTAATTACCTTAGATCAGAAGGTTGTCTTTACAACAACACTACACACAACTTTATTAAAGATGCACCAGCCACACAGTAGGCATGACATTGGCCCTAATAAGAAAGGAAGGCAAAACATCTTTCTTGAGTCCTTTTTATGTTTACCAACATGTTATGCAAGGCAATAATGATGGTGAATGAGTGAGTTATCAGCCCAGAATTCAGACATGTTTTCAAATAACTTTGGAGGGATTTAGCTTGTTTGCTCATTTGGGGGTTTTGGAAACTTATACTCATCAAAATGTAGAGAAAAATGCCCAGAATTCTTTATTTTTAAATGTCAGAGAGTAATCAGCAATGGCTCTCTGTCAAACTGGGAAGACAAGTCTAGCGATGTCCCACGGGGGTCAGTTCTGGGTCTGATATATTTTCATTAATGAGTTGGATAATGAAGTGGGGAATACGCTTATAACATTCGTGAATGACACCAAGCTGGGATGGGATGCAAGCATTTTGGAGGGCATGATCAGAATTCAAAACAACCCTGACATATTGGAGATTTGTTCTGGGGAAGAGGAAAGCAAAAAAAAAAAAAAAAAAGAGGAAATTCAATAAAGACAAGTGCAAAGTACTTCACTTCGGAACGAAAAATCTAATGGACAACTGCAAATTGAGGAATAACTGGCTATATAAGGATCCTGCTAAAAAGGATCTGGGGTTACTGTGGATCAGAAATTAAATATGAGTCAATAATGTGGTGCAGTTGTGAAACAGCCTAATGTCATTTTGGGGTGTATATAAGACGTGGGAGGTAATTGTCCCGCTCTGCTCGGCACTGGTGAGGCCTCAGCTGGAGTACTGTGTCCAATTCTGGGTGCCACACTTAAGGAAAGATGCGGACAAACTGCAGAGAGAGCAACAAGAATGATAAAAGTTTTAGAAAACCTGATCTAGGAGTAAAGGTTAAAAAAACTGGGCCTATTTAATCTTGAAAAAAGACGACTAAGGGGAGACCTCCAAACAGTCTTCAAATATGTTAAGGGCTCTTAAAAAGAGGACAGTGATCATTGTTCTCTGTGTCCGCTGAAAGTAGGGCAAGTGATGAGCTCTATCTGCAGCAAGGGAGATTTAGGTTAGATATTAGGAAAACATTTCTAACTATAAAGGTAGTGAAGCTCTGAAACTGCCTTCCAAGACAGGATGTGGAATCTCCCTCACTGAAGATTTTTAAGAACAGGTTGGACAAACACCTGTCAAGGATGATCTCGGTTTACTTGGTCCTGCCTTAGCACAGGAGGCATCTCACAAGGTCCCTTCCAGCCCTATATTTCTATGTAGGCTGGTGAAAAGTGCCAGACTAACTTCCCCTGGACACTGAAGTCCTCCCTTTGTCCACAGAACACGTGCTGCATACAAAGCAGCCATGCAAACTTCTCCGTCTGCCTCAGTGCAAACCTGGTGGGGCTATTTCCTGAGGCTGGCAGAGAGGAAGGTGGTTCAGTCTTCAAACTTACTCAATCCCTGGCCTCTCAGCTGCAATTGAAAAGGGTGCCAATTTGCACTAATTTTTGTGATATGGGAACTGGACTTAGACCCAGTGCTTCCTAATGTTTTGTAAGTTATCAACTGCAGCCAAGCCAAGCTATGAGGTTAGAAAATAAGCAGGATTTTATTATTTTTTTAGAAGACCGCAGTGAGTTATTATGTGAGGGATACGTAATAAACAAGCAATACATTAGTGAAGCTCTTCTATTTACTGTGGCTGAATGCGAGTTTTAGCCATTGTCCAATGCCCAGCATGCAAGGAGTATACGTTATAAGAAAACACAGTGATGTTATTTCTAGACACCACACAGGGGTATCAGGGGTGTCTTCAGTATAGGGAGGGAGAGATGATAAGAGAAGGAAACAAGTTAGAAAACAATTTCTTCAGCAAATATCTTCAATAAGACTCAAGACCCTTTCAGATAGTCTTAGTTGCTTCCCTCCAGCCCCATCACTTGTTCAACTCACTTTGTCATGTACGGCACTCTGCTGAAATGTGTATTTAAAACTCAGCAAAATGGGTTTCGGGTGGAGTCGGCATATCAAATGCACAGAAGATTCTGTTGCCTCCCCAGTTTCTTCCCGTTCACAGTATTCATATTATCTGGGTAAAAACGGCAGTGAAACCTGAGGCTTGTGTGCACACATCAGACCCCATCCTCATTCCTCCAATCATTCCCGGGCCCATTCATCACTAGCTCTACAGGCAGGGAGCCAGACATGGTGGCACCACCACTTCTGCTTATAAAGGCTTTAAATCAGTAAAGACATATTTGTTCTCATCTGCTTTCAGTCTGCACTTTCACTGGGCTTTCCAGTAATATTTTTATTGTTTAAAAGAAAGGTGTCCTTTCAGACTCTATTATTCTTCTCATTTCCTTAATAAGGCGGCTGCATGACTGGCAAGGGGACTCCAGGTTATCTCCAGGGTATTTTTATTCTACTCGGACTGCAGGATGTGCCTGAACACTGTCCAGAAATGGATTTAGCGGCTGTTGTGTTTTTCCTTCCTGCTTGACAGAAAGATCGTTCTCTGGCTTGATTAATTTTAATTCTTCTGTCTGCTTCGTTCTGTTCATGGCTACAGAGTGAGTTCCTTCCAGGAACTGCCAGGTATAGAGAAACATTTTCAGAACACAAGTTGCACGCATCTGTAGATGATAATTCTGTGCATGGGTTAATTTCTAGTTAGCAACCTTTGACCTACGGCTGAAGGACCTCCCCAGACCCCAGTTTCCCCTGAGACATGTCCTTGGTCAAAAGCTCCTGATCAGGAGCTAACTTTTTTGTATGTTTTCAAATACCAAACGATATACATTTTCCCATCAAATCCAGCAGTTTTTGTTTCAACAAGTCCATTTTTAATTTTACTTATTTATTTTAACACCACTGTTTATGTTAAATCCTGATAATAATTCGGAGAGTCACAGCACCACATTTAAAAACAATCCCAGACAGGAAGAATGACTATTAACAAAGCACTCGTCAACTGTTATATATTAGCTGCATGTTCTTGGATATGGCTAGCGGGAGAATTCACAGTCTAAATTGCTGCCCCTTTGGTGAGTGTTCATATTGTAACAGAGCAGTGGCAAGCTTCCCTGGCTTCTGGCACCAAGAATCACAGCTGACTGTACAGCTTTCAAAAAGGGGCTGACTTTCATGCTATTCCACAGCTCCAGACCATAGAGCCACATTGTCAGAAGCAGGCTCTAAAATTACAGCCACAATTTGCTGTCTAGCTACTAGTGTTGGAGGAATTACGTTAAATGAACATACTGCCATTTGTTTGTCAAATAACAAATTAAACAACTAGTTTTGCAGTACTCAAGCAGCTCAAAAGCTATTCATCTAACAATATATTCAAAAATATTCTCTCTGCTATTTGGTGTTTATTCATCTTAGCTATCTGTGACCTAAGTACTTAAGTGTCCTCTGCCCCCGCAAAAAAAAAAAAAGGAAAGAAAATTTGGCATTAGCAAAAGAGCTTGAGATTTGCATAAACAGTAGATAGATGTCTGACTATGCTAACTACCTGATTTTTACATTTCCATCCAGGTTAGGCTGGAATGGAAAATGTAATATAAAACCAAGGAGAGAGACAAGTTAGAACAAGGTTGCTCCATTTTGAATCTGCAGGGCTTAATTCAACCAGCACGTGGGGGGGAAATCATGGACTTGATTTTCCAAAATAAAATTATATTATTCATATACTACACAAACATACAAATGTACTTACTTGTGGGATTTTCTCTCTATCCAAGTAAACTTTTTCTCTTAACAAAGACCAATAAAATGACTTAGAGCTCTTATGTTGGGAGTCAGAATTTTATGAGGTTTCAGAGGAACAGCCGTGTTAGTCTGTATTTGCAAAAAGAAAAGGAGTACTTGTGGCACCTTAGAGACTAACCAATTTATTTGAGCATGAGCTTTCGTGAGCCACAGCTCACATCTGATGAAGTGAGCTGTGGCTCACGAAAGCTCATGCTCAAATAAATTGGTTAGTCTCTAAGGTGCCACAAGTACTCCTTTTCTTTTTGTATGAGGTTTCAGTGATCTCGTGGCTCACCAGTCAATGCTGAATTAATTTACATATTACATGCTATGGGCCCAATCCTGTAGCCCTGCTGTGTAGAATCCCAATGAAGTAAGCACTTATATCAGTAAGGACTGCCGGAACAGTCCTTTCTATATGCATGTGGGGTGTGTGTGTGTGTGTGTGGATAAGTAAGTAAGTAATAAGAATATATCTGTGTGTTTAGACTGGGATTTGAAACAGGTCCTAACTTACTGTTCAACACTATGGTCCAAATTTTGTTCTCAGTTTTAAACAGGCAATACCAAAAAAATTGGAAACTCTGTCTGCTGAGACCAAATTTGATGCTGACCACACAAATCCGGCACAGCAGTCTATAAATGTCGTGCTTACCCGGGAACTGCCGTATTTTAAAAATAGAAAACATTGTATAACTTCGAACCAAAACTGGAAATGAATTTGTGCAGAGTGTTAATCTCTTGTTTGTTCTTTTCCTTTGAAACACAGAGTTCATAGTAACACCTAGACCTTATTCTCTGAGGGCCAGATTATCAGTGGCTATAAATCATCATTAGTTCCACAGGCTTCAATGGGACTATGCTGATTTATAGCAGCTGAGGAGCTGGTCCCAAGTGTCATATTGAAACTAGTATGTCGCTACAAACTACAATCTTTTGCAATGACAGAGGTCATTCATTATTGTTATTTTATATTTGTATGGCATGAGCACCTAGAGGCCTCAGTAAGTCCCCACCGTGCTAAGCACTGTGCAAACAAAGTAAGAGATAGTCCCTGCCCCAGCCTAACCTAGACTGTGAGCTCTTTGGAGCAGGAACTGTTATTTTACTACACACAGCACCTAGCGCAATGGGTCTCTGATCCTTGACTGATGCCTGTAGGCATCATGGGAATACAAATAGAGGTAAATACCAGCAACAACCAAGTAGATACTGTTTCCGTACATTATCAGAACAACTACAGGATACAAAAAAAATCTGTTTTTCCATGCCGCTCATCTAATTCTCTTTTCTTTTCTAGGAAAAATACATGCATCTATTGATTTAAGGCTAGATTTTCTTCCTCCTCTTACCTCTATTTTTCAGCGGTGGCAGTGTAGGGTGAAGGTTTTCATTACAGAAATCTTCATCTGTGCAGCATGCAATAGTTCTTCTGTGATGTATTATGGGTGTATCCTGCAACAGAGAAATTCACAGACAACTGCGTGAGCAACTTTGTTTTTTTAAACAGACACTGTTGTTTGGGCGCTGGACAAGGAGACAGACCTGACATGGTAACCAGTGAAGGATTTCAAATATGACTGCAATAAGGATTTGGGCTATCCTAATAAAGCCAAACCACACTTCATTTAAACATTAAAGAACAAATTCTTTACGAAATCCTTGTGAAATTCCACTCAAGTCATTAGCATTATACAAGGATGTATTTGGCCATAACAGCGTACGGTAAAACGGTGAGAGAATCTGTGCATTAGTGTTACATTATTCAAGCATTCCATTTGAATGTGGGGGCAGAGAGATTTCACGTTTATGTACAATGAGACTGAGGGCCTGATCCTCTGTCCCACTTTCTAGAGCAAAGCAGAGAGAATTTTGCCCCAAGGCCAAGATTTCCAGAAACAGATACCTAACATCAGGCCTGAATTCAACAGAGACTTTAGGGTGCTCAGCATTTTGGAAAATCTGGCTACTTATTTAGTAAGCAGTTAGAAGCCTCATTTTAGACTCCTATTTTTGAAAATCTTGGCCTTAGCACACGATTCCCTTCACGTAGGAGAATCCTCAGATGGCTTAAAGCCAATGTAGTCAACTCTGTCATCTATCCCGCCTAGCGAAATAGATCAGTGAAGGGTATGAAAGGGAGCAGGAGGGGACAGAACACAGTGCACTGCACTTTGGAGATATTTACTGGAATAATGGCTCCTAAGAGTTTATTATAAGCAGCTGCAAATAAGAGCAACCATTATCCTGCTTTAACTTGAACCAATAGCTAGTGTGGCCCCTGGACAGGCCCAGAGCAGAAAGATTTACTTAGGGTACTACTACATTGCAAACAAACAAAAAACCACGTCAGCGCGTCTCAGAGCCCGGGTCAACTGACTTAGGTTCACACTACAGGACTAAGAATAGCAACATAGATGTTGCTGCTTGGGCTGAAGCCTGGGCTCTGAAACCCAGCAAGGGGTTGAGTGTCAATGTCTGGACTCCACCCTGAGCAGGAGTGTCTACACTGCTATTCTTAGGCGTGTAGCAAGAGCCCAAGTCAGTTGACCCAGGCTCTGAGGCTCGCTGCCACGCTCGTGGTCTTTTGTTGTTTCATTTTCCAGGGTAGATGTACTCAGAGTCATCTTCGTTCCATCTGCTGTCCTCCCTCCACAGTCATGCTGAGCTTTGCACGGAACAGCTGGGGATTTAACCCCGAGTGATTTCTCTGTGTTAAACATGCAAGCACAAAAGAGAATTGCTTTGTAGGGTGACAAGTTGATTGCAGTACATGGAATGAAAACACATTTCTCTCCCTGGAACTATAATGCCTTCACGAAGGTGGATCCCTAAATTTACTGGCTGGACTGTCTACACACACAGGACTCACGTTACACATCAGTGATATGTAACAACTTCTCGTGTGAAAACAGCCACTTTTTTACTGCCCACTACTACGTAGCACACAGCAGTTTAGGAAAGGAAGTAAAGAATGTCTTATGTAATTCAAGCCGCAGGGGGAATGTAGAGAAGCAGAATGGAATTACCCGAGCGGTTTACCCGAGCGGTAGTTTCACCAGGACGGCAGGGGCTAACGTTAGTTAACTTGCGCTTGAAGTAGTAGCAAGAGTTTTGGGGAGCAGATGCCATTTCTTCAGCATTCAGTGCAGAGGGCACATCTCCCACATGAACAAAATTCAAAGCAGCAGATGTATGCATTCATCCTGACTACAATGCAGCTGCATGAAAACTATCACAACAGCCAGACCAAACCTTGATCGCAACTCTTTTCTTACCCGGCACTGGAAGTCTGAGCCTTCTAAGCCTAGGCATCCTGAGGCAATCGTACGTCCTCCGGATTCATCTTCTTCTACCATGGTGAAACAGTAGCCATCAGTCCTGAAGATTGGAAAGAGTGAAAAATAGAGTTTGTTTTTTAAAATCAGAGATTTGCTATGAGAGGCAGTCTGATATGCTGAGCCCCACAAACATACAGTTGATAAATCAACACACTTTGAACAGCAATGTAACATAATGCTAAACTATCATCACATATATAAAATCTTATTTATTTACACAGTATTATTTCAACATACAAAACAAATGAATGCTTATCCCAGGCTCTTGGCATCCACACATGGTTAAAATTAAATCCAACAAAGACAGACAGCAATCATAAACTGATAACTTTTCTTCAAACAAAAGAAACCAGTCCACAAAGCTGACATTTTCACATAAAACCCAAACCCCCATAATCAAAAATCTTCACCCAAGGCCCATCCCCTCTGCACAAATGTCTATCCCAGTGGTTCTCAACCCATGGTCTGCAGGCAGCTTGTGGCCCAGGTGATATCCTCAGGGCCATACAAGTAGTATAATGAAATGGTGTGGATGTGGCCAACGTAACACACAGAGAGCTGCATATGCGGCTCAGAGTGGTAAACAGGTTGAGAACCACTGGTCTATCCTAATAGATACGCTTTGCATCATTGGAGACCCATCTTAGTAAAAGCATCAGTGCTAAAGCAGGTCTACTTGTACATGCACACTGTACAGAGATTTGCTCTGTGGCGCAGACTGGAAGAGGCCAGCGTCATTGAGATAATAACTGTGAAACACTATTAAGAGTGATTTGTGGTCCTTACTTTAACCATATTACAAACTGCAACACTCTGTTGCGTTTGAGTTCTTGAGTTATCATCAACATCCTTCCGAACTGTTTACTTGGGTTATAAGCCTAAAGTGATCCATAATAGTTCAGTTTACAAGAACATGTACAACATAGGACAAGTATACTAACAGATGGCTAGATGGTGCTGGTGATAAATGTCCTTCCCTAATGAAGGTCAAATGCATGAATGTTATCAGGGAAACAAAAAGAGTGCCTGCATCTGACTGCAAGTCTTCTCTGCTAATTTCTCATCACTTTTTGGGGACTCACTACCCTATCAAAATGAATGAAAATTGTCTTGATTGTAAGAAATAAAATGGATAATAAAAAAGAAATAGCCCCTTATCCTCAAACAATTAAGTCACATAACAATAAAATGTTTTATTAACCTCTTAATTTCTTTCTAATATTTATTGTGTTATATATGAACAAATGAACAAGGACAATAAAAGGGAAACAGACACAAGAAGTAACTAAATGGATTTACAAGGCTTAAATAAAGCAGAATTTCAGATAATTATTTTTTGACTTGAAAGAAAGGAAAGCCTAACAAAACAAACACAAACACTAATGACAATAAAGAAGTTGTAGGAAAAGGGGAACATTCCATTACACACCGAACGCATAAATACAATTTGGAAATATTAGCTGTGGCACAGAAGGATGCCGGATAGGAAAACACCAAATATTTGCTGTGGCATGTTTTTAAATTAACTGTGTGAGATCTAGTCAGAGCAAGCTTGTTTCACAGTTCCTTTCAATAACAGGAGAAGTTACTAACGTCTGGATCTGAAAAGTAACCAGTTGCACACTACAGACGACTTCCTCATAGAAGCGCACAATTTACTTTTATACTACTTCGATATTGTGCATGAGAGTAAAGTAAGGAAGACAACAACCCTTTTGGGAAACAACTCTCATGACTTCATTACTCAGTCTCAGGATAGGAATGATAGGATTGCCAAGAAAAGAGACTGAAAGGAATCCATTAGAGTACAATATTATATTATACTACATTTTATTTGTTTATACGGTGCCTTAGAGTCAAAGCAATGAGTAAGGGTAACAGAGGGACGCTGTAACAAAACGATAAATTGCAATCAACTGAAAAACAAAACAAGTCAACAACTGATGGTCTCTAATAAAGTCACTATACAAAAGAATCATATCATTAGAAGAGGTACTATTAAGACAGGAAAGAGACCCAGGAGGTTTTGGCATTCTAGTGACTTTCAGTAGGACACAGACTCATAAATCACTTTTGAAAATGGAACATAGGCTCCTAAGTCACTTAAATGCTTGTGAAAATTTTACTTCTGATGTAAAATGACAAAGCAAGTTAGATCATGGAAAGCAGAGGGGGAGAGAGCTCAAAAACTTTGAGGGATGGAGGAAATCATTCTTTTTAGAGACAGCAATAGAAGAATGTCTCACTAGCTTCACACCATGATACAATGAATGAGGAATGTGAAATGAAATTTAAAGGGAAATGTTTATACAGGAAAAATGAGATTTAAGAGGGAGAATTTTCAATGTAAATAAAAGTTACCATCACCCCTCGGAAAGCCTGCCAGAGATCTGGGCAAGAGAGTAGAAGAGACAGTGTCTCCTAGAACTCCTGGAAGAGCTCTACTGTGGTGGTGGGGAACAGATGCTCACAGGTTGAATATAACACACTCGACATACAGAGGAGTGCATAGCACACTCCAGCTGCACAGTCCAGCCATGTCAGAAATTAAAATCTTTCCATCATTAAAAAAAATCTGAACAAGCATGTACCACATCTAATATGCTGTATTTCACTGCATATTACATATAAGTACTCATGATAACACAGAATACAGGGGGTCTCCTGTATACATTGGGGTTGTGCTCTTGAAAAGGGTGGTGGATACCAAAATGACGTATACCGGGGAATTTTTCCCAGTAAGAAATAATGGAATAAGGTGGGAATGCATTCACAACTTCACCACACTTGCCTATGACAATGCTCTTTTCGCCTAAACAGGGTACCTTTTGACACTGACAGGTTATACAGCACACATTTTACACACAAAACGTTGAATAAAATAATGTACAACCCTACTAACGCTGATTAAACACATAGAACATTTTAATATAGTACATACAGTACAGTAATACAGTATAAAACACTGTCAATTATGCTAAACTTAGGAAGGGGTGGCAGCTGTGTTTTCTTGGGCTGGCTTTTCCGTGGCTGGCTTTTTGGTTGCAGAAGTCTTAAAAAAGGATTTTAATCGATGTCTGCTCTCCTGCATGAATCTTTGAACAATAGATCTCCCTGTAGCAAGTCACTGCATCACTGAGAGCCCTGGAGACTTTGGCAGACCGTTTACAAAAAGGATCACCGCTCTGTATTATTTCCATCATCTCATCCAGCAATCCAAAGAAAAGGGAGAGATTCTTTGTCGTCAGACTCCTGGCTTCCTGCCCTATATCATCATCATCGCCCTTGCTTTCTTTAGATATCCGTGGTCAATCCAGCTCAATCAGTTCCTCATTTGTCAGTTGCTTAGCGTGAGACTCCTGTACATCCTGCTCCTCCACCTCCTCGAAGCCAATATTCTTTGCCAACTTGACAATTTCTTGCTCGAGAACAGGAACGGCATCAAATCCCACGAAGCTGTGGACAGCATCTGGCATTGCACAGCGCAAAATGCCGTTCACACATTGCAAAGTGACCTCTTCCCACGACGGGTCAATGTTTTCCACGCTGTTCAAGATGTTGTAGGACTTCCAAAACTCCTTTACGCTGGGCTTTCTTTCACATGCTGTCTCCTTAATCAGCATGGAGAATGTCCTCTGTAGGTAATAAGCCTTGAACGTGGCCATTACACCCGGTCCATGGGCTGCAGCAACAATGTGGTGTTGGGTGGCAAAAATTGGACTTCGACGTTTGGGCAGAGAGCCTTGTAGTCCAGTTCATGGACACTTGCGTTATCCAGCAGAAGGAGAATCTTAAAGGCCAAATTTTCCTTCTGACAGTAAGCCTTAAATTCAGGGACAGCACGGTCTACAAACCACTCACGGAAAATACTGCATGTCATCCAGGCCATTCTGTTCGACTTCCAAATTACAGGGAGATAAGGCTTGACGTAGCCCCTCATTGCTCTTGGGTTTTCACCGTGGTAGACAAGCAAGGGCTTCAGCTTATAATCGCCTTCTGCATTTCCCCCAAGCAGAAGGGTTAAGCGGTCTTTTGAGGCTTTGAATCCAGGAGCAGTCTTCTTGTCACGAGAAATATAAGTGCTTGCTGGCAATTTCTTCCACTAACTGCCCGTCTTGTAGACGTTAAAAACTTGTTTTGGAGAGCAGCCACCTTCCAAATCAATTGTATTTAGCTGCATAGGAAACAATTCAGCTGCTTCTTCATCCACAGTAGCCATTTCTCCTGTGAGTGTTACATTATGTAGATTCGCAAAAAGAAAAGGAGTACTTGTGGCACCTTAGAGACTAACCAATTTATTTGAGCATGAGCTTTCGTGAGCTACAGCTCACTTCATCAGATGTATACCGTGGAAGTTACGGTATACATCTGATGAAGTGAGCTGTAGCTCACGAAAGCTCATGCTCAAATAAATTGGTTAGTCTCTAAGGTGCCACAAGTACTCCTTTTCTTTTTGCGAATACAGACTAACACGGCTGTTCCTCTGAAACCTGTCATTATGTAGATTGACACGCTTCTGAAATCTGTGGAATCACCCACGACTAGCATGGAAGGTCGCCTTTTCTGCTGTTGAGCTCTCTCCCTTTCTTTCCTTTAAATTGTTATACAGGCTTTTGGCCTTCTCCTGAATCAAGCTTAAACTCACAGGCATTTTCTTTTCATGCAGGTCATCAATCCAATCAGCCAGCAAACATTCCATCTTCTCCATTATACAGGGAGTCCTCGAACATACGACACCTGACTTCCGTCAGACGCCGCTTATGACACTTTTCAGTTGACTGCCTGTTTTGCCCCTACGACTCTTGTCGCCCTTACGACAAAAGCCGGCAGGGAGAACAGCACACATCACATGCTGAGTCTCAGCAAATCACTGATTTCACGGTTCAAGCTTTCTGATTGGCTGAGCCAGGGGCTGGGAGCCAATCAAAAACAAGCGGCAAGGCTAGCCGGCAACAACTACCCTGGCCCTGGAAGCCAATCAGACAAGTGACTGCAAGGGACCCCCCACTTCCAGCTCCATTCATTATAACACAGTGCATC